TCCAAGCACCCTGTCCACATCCTCAGGTCTCAACAATTGAAACTCATCCATTAATACTTGACCTAAGCACAGCACATTGGACACATCCTCTGATTCTACAGTAATGGTGGAGTCCAACCACTGTGAATCTGAGTGATTTTCCCCTCAAAATGAATGGCAAACTCATCACAGTGAGCTGATGAGCAGTCCGGGACCTCTACCAGATTTTCTGGTTGAAGAAGACCCCAGACCACCAAAACAGCTCTGCTGTACGACATTCTGAGGAAGCAATACAGCTGGAGAAATAATGTACTGATGTCTCACCAGACGTATTGCCATGAAATAGGCCCGATAATGGGCTCTAAGTCATGTTCGATTGGACTCCCAGCGGGATTTCCTTCATCTGCGCTCAAGCCATCTCCCCTCTCGCTTTAGTGCCCGCAGTTCAGATTATACCAAGGAGCTGTCTGGGCTCTGCGTGCAGGGAGAGGGCACAGGCACAATCGTGTCAACCGCACAGGTCATCTCCCTATTCCATAGGGTGACCTGAGCTTCGACAGGAGCGCCGACCATATCAGACAGAGCATTCAGGAAACCATCCGGATCCATTAGTCTCAGAGGGCCGATCATCTTAATAGATCCCCCACCCTTGTAGAGGGGAGAAGAAGCTAATAGATTAAACTTGACCACGAAGTAGTCTGACCATGATAATGGGGTCACAACCAGCCCCTCCACATCCAAATCACCATCTTTCAGTCCCGTTGAGTCCCGTTGAGAAAAGGTCCAAGGTATGAGACAGCCCCATGGTTGTCATGGCAACATTGGTGCTAGACCAAGTACCCAGGTGGGCACAGCTGAGAGAGTGGGACACCACCCTCCTCTCCCACCCAGGTCTCAGTAATGCATGCCAGGTCAGCACCCTCATCCAGAATTACATCATGGATGAGGACAGTCTTATTTTGTACTAACGTGGCATTCATCAACAGCACCATGTGGCTCAAGGGTTTGCTGATATGGTCACCTCATGCCATCTGGTTGGGGTAGGACTAGAAGAGGAGATAGGTGTAAGATATCTAACCTCTCTTCTCCTATGTGGGCATGTTCTAGCCCC